CGGAGTGCACACGCATAGAGCGGGATAATACGCAGAGCGTCACACCACGTGAAAGTGAAACCTGAGCGGTGAACTAATTTTCGGCAGCCGGAATTTCGGTGCATCTCTAATTATTGGCGACATCAGAAATGGATATTATATAATAGATATTTTTTTGAACATTTTAGCTATTTAAAAATATTTAAAAATTATTTTTTACACGGCACCCCTGCTCTCGACAGACGGCACCCCGGTTGGGAAACACTGGTTTAAACAACCTATTTATTTATTTTCATGAATCATACAAACTTTTTTTCTAAATTAAAAAACAACAGCTGTTTAAGTGGTTTAAACAACCTATGTATGTATGTATTTATTTATTTTTATGAATCATACAAACTTTTTTCTAAATTAAAAAAACAGCATCTGTTTAAGTGGTTTGAACAACCTATTTATTTTATTTATTTTCATGAATCATACAAACTGTTTTCTAAATTAAAAAACAACAGCTGTTTAAGTGGTTTAAACAACCTATCTATCTATCTATCTATCTATCTATCTATCTATCTATCTATTTTCATGAATCATACAAACTTTTTCAAAATAAAAAAACAACAACAACAACAGCTCTTTAAGTGGTTTGAACAACCTATTTATTTATTTATTTTAATTAAAAGAACTCCTGTAGATGAGAGAGCTTCTTTACCTAGATAAAGTTACTCAGCCTCAGTGAACAGGCACAATACAGGATACGGGACTCTGAATCAGCCTGTCTGCTGAGTGAAACTGAACACACTGCTCCTGCCATGGTCCTTTAACAGGCAAGGACAAGTCAAATGCTTATCACTTGTGCAGTAACTGATGGATATGATGCTTTCAGCAGCAAAGTCACTTCCTTTGAGCAATAGCTGGAGTTGGATTACATTTCTCTTCATTAGTGAAACAATCATGACTATAGTCAACTGTATCAAAGATGTGTTTGGCCTTAAAAACATAAGGCGTATTGCCAAAAATGTCATTTGTCTTCAAGATAATAATGACCATAACACATAAGATTACATTTAAAAAAAACAACAAACTCCTATATTTTGAAATGTTATTGTGAATTATTTTATATTGTGAAATTTTTAAGTTCTTGAAGAAAATCTTCAAAATTGCAATACAATGGTAAGTCATGAACGTATAGTACAGTACTTCAAAAGGCCCACCTGACTCACAACTGTCTGGCATTTTTTTCCGTTTTTAGTTATTTATTTATTTATTTAATACATGTAATTTGCATTTTGCTATCCCACCATGTGCTGCATGTTGGAATAGCAAAATGCAAATGCACATCTGAGAATCTCAGCCTATGTAGTAGGTCATCGCTTACCAACTGTTTAAAAAAATATTGTGTATTTGAACATTCTACTGAACTGACACTTATTGCATAATATGTAATGCATTATAATTATGCATATTTTGATGTGGGGAATGTCTTTTTTTAAATTACTGAAATACACTTTTTTTTTTTCCAAGAACTAATTTTGGTAATAAAAAAAGGGTTGTTCTTTTTGTGAGAGACTTGTTTTGACTCTTGTCTCAGAGCACCATTGTCTTGAAAGAAGAAAGCAAACTGGATCTAACCAGCACAGAAAAAGAAGTGCACGACCAAGGTGCACAACAGCAAGAGAACAAGTACATCAGTATTGTTTGTTTGAGAAACAGACTCTTCTGGTGCTCAGATAAATCTGCGTTGTGTGAAGGAAAGACTCTAGAATGCACGAGGTCTGCAAGTGTCATTACTGCACATGGAGGATTCTTTGATGAGCAGAACATTTGAAGAACAACATTTATTAGAAATAGAAATAATTTGTAACATTATACATCTTATATTATTGTCTCATTATACTGTATTTTTTAATCAAGTCATTGCATCATTGGTGAATGAAAGTAACAATATGTTTCAAAACAAAACATTTCATAGTAATCCCAAGATTTTGAATGATAGTATATTGTATGTATATTTAAAATAATTATTTCTACTATTTAAATTTGTAATATCTCTTTAATAAGGTTTCATAACTGTGCCCCTATTGTCATCGCTCTCAGATCCCCAAAAAAAAAAAAATCAGGTAATAACAATGTCAGCCTGCATTCTGAATGTCCTCTTTCCATATTTCATTTGCTATGAGTTCAATGAGGCCACACAGTCTATAGAAATGTATGTCTTATATTTTAGAGTTTTTATTATATGTTAGTTTTCTTAGGCGTCGTTTTCCTTCCTCCATGCATAAAACCTTTGTATGTTTTTATCTATATTTTCATTCTACTGGAGTAAAACACCAGTCAGACACCTTTAACCGAACGAAAGAGCTAAGAAAAACTAAACTAAACTAAAACCACTTCATTTATATTAGTGAATTTAATGTAGTTATT